AAACAATAACTTGCTTTTCAGACGGCAGTCAGCACATACGGTAGGTCCAGTATTTATACTTAAAACAATGATTTTTTTTTTAAAACATCTGTGAAAAAAACAGACAATCAGAGTCCAAAACAGAGATTTTCTAGAAGTTTCAAGAAATTGAGAGAAATTAAAGAAATAAACAACAATAGCAAGTAACAATATGATATCTAGAAAAGGCAGTGATATTTACCTATGAAGGGCATGATTATACTTTCTTAAAACTTGGTGAAACTTCAGTTTCTTTCACTCATATTTTTTCTGGAAAAGTTGAGAGAGAAAGTCTTGTTACTTCTGCAAGAAAATTAAGCATTTGAGATTGCATGCAATAATTATGAAAACGAAATTATTTGAACATGCAAAGAATTTTAACATCTGGAAACAGAAAACAGAGTCTGGAAAGTGACAAATTTCGATACAAAAAAAGGAAAAAGAATTCGAGTAAAATTACCAAGAACAGATGATCAAGAGAGGTAAGGGAAAAATGTAAAGGAGCTTAGCTAATGTACCGGTCGTCCATTAATGCCCAGCTATATATGGGCTCTAACCCAACTGTAGTCCAACATATTTCAACAAATTAAATGGAAGTTAAGGAATATTTCAAATTAACAAAATTATTTTACCTTTTTAAAAGCTTATTATACTCAAGTCATATGCATGCACACAAATCAAAATTTTAGAAATATTTTGTGAATTTCTTAGATACACGAATTTAGATTTCCGTAATCCGGATGCATATACTCAATAATATGCATATGCTCATGTCATATTTGACCTCAACAACACTAACAAAAATTATAAAATAAATTAGAGAATATGCACAAAATAGCCAAATTTTTTAAGATAATTAAGAAAATAGTCATGAGCTACAGTAACTTGTCTGTATGATGTCGGAAAGCACGTGTAATTACATACAAGTCCTTTATAACATGCTTTTTTTCTCGAATTACATGTGATATAATAATATATCTCTTTTTATCATATTATTTTCCGGCATTACATGTTATTTATAAAGAGCACATGTTATTTTTTGAAAAAACACTCTATTCAATTTAATATCTTTCTCTATCATGTTATTTTGTAGTAATACACGTTTTTTATTATGATCACATGTGATTTCTTTAAAAAAAAGATTCTTATTTTATAGTAATTCACGGTTTTTATTAAGATCACATGTTATTTCTTTGAAAAAACACTCTATTCAGTTTAATATATTTCTCTATCATGTTATTTTGTAGTATTACACGTTTTTTTTATTATGATCACATGTGATTTCTTTAAAAAAATATTCTTATTTTCTAGTAATTCACGGTTTTTATTAAGATCACATGTTATTTCTTTATAAAAAGATTCTATTCAAGTTTAATTTTTCCGTAACAATGTTTTTAAAAAAAAAAACACAACGTAACAATGTTTTTTCTTAAAAATTCATTACGTTTTTTTAAATAGCATGTCTTTTAGTTAAATATAACATGTGAAATTTAGATCTTACATGCTATTTTGAAAAATATCACGAAACAATGTCGCCTACTGTAGATCTCAAAACAAACGGAGGATGGTTTTGTTATTTCACATCCTCAGACAAGGTGGGTCCATGCTGTTTTCCGACAGAAAATTTTCTCTCTGCTAGTTTCTTAATTTATGTGTCCAATTTGGCTATCTACTAATATTACCCGATAAATTATTCGAAAAAATAATAATAATTTTTTTTTCAATTATTGAATTTTCTAATCATGATTTAAGCTCTTAAATTCAATTAAAGAAAATGTTTTTCACATTAAGAGAGATCAGTTAAATTTTAAAAGTAAAAAATTACATATGTTACATTTAAAAAAATTATAATCACAATAATATATTTTACATAATTATTTTAAAAGATATAATGATTTATAAAAAGTTTACAATTGGAGGAAGAAAAAAAGAGCTTTATTTTCAATCTAGTATTCCTTTGCTACTTAAAGCCCACAATTTTCGAAACTAAAATGAGTCTTGTTCAAATCTCTTGATCCACTGATTCATATTTGATTCTAGTTACATTGTGTTAAATGTGTATCAAATTACAATATTTAATGTGAGATGATATTTCTATGAATATTTTTGTAATTTGTTTTTACTGGTTTTTAGTTACTACTAGGTAAAAATATATATTTGATTAAATTATTATAAACTTTTAATACATTTGAAAATAATAAAGTTGTTGTGTTTGGTTTTATTATACAAAACTAGTATGTAGTCCCGTACTACGTACGAGAAAACAAATGAAAGTTTATTATAACTACAACAAAATTATCATGTTAATTAAGATCAAATCTCCAAAGTTGTTCATTTCTTAGATTAAAAAGAGAAATAGGTGTGTTTCTGAGCTAGAAGAGAAATATATAATTTTTTTAAAGATAATGAAATCTCTTAAAATGTGATATATATTCCAGAGTCTTAACTTGGCACTTCATAGATCCCAACATTATATTTAGTGTTTTTATTTTTCTTGATTTAATAAGAAATCTGCAAAACAATATATGTCAGTAAGACCAAAACGTCGTAGATGTGCAAAAAATAGAGAATGATCAAATATGTTTTAACTCCATAATTCATAACTCACGTGCTTGTACTCACCATGTGTTTTCATTTGGCCTTTGTTGGTCTTCTTTTCTTCTTCTCGAGTGAATCGATAAAAATAACATTCAAAGCAAACTTTCTTTTGTAGCATCACAATCCAACAATGATGAAGCATCTGACAAATGGTAGTGAAGGTGTTAATTAGGTATTTATAAAAATCGTAGGAAATCGTGGAGATCGTGGAACATGAATTTGATTTTTTAGTAAAGAATTAATCTATTTTTCTATTTTTGTTTAAGAAAGGCTGGAAAAAAGAATTAGCATGCTCCTAAAAATATGGCTCGTAACGGTAGATTGTGGATATCGTAGAGAAACTTGATTTAGTTTTTTTAAAATAACAATTGTTTTGTTTCGTCACATTTTTACAGAAACTTGATTTATTTATTTTTTAAATAATTTTTGAATTGACAGATGTCACAGTATTATGGTTCAGTGACTTGTGTTTTATAAGATAAAAGATTCATAAATTTATAAATTTTGATTGTTGACGAATTAACAATATTTTTTCATCTTATTTTAAAAGCAGAAGATTATTAAAATTCATTTTATGGATTTTTTTATCATATTTGTTTTGTATAATTTTTTTTGTTGAAATGTGAAATTTATAGCTCAACAAAAAAAGGATTGTACATGATAAATAAAATCAAGAATAAGAAGTAGCTTAACGTTTGAACATTATATCAATCTTACTTCAAACCATCAAATTTATGTGAAGCTTTGTATTGAAGAGAAGAGATACGGTTTCGCATGACCCTATCAATGAGTCGGGTAAGGACTGCTGAGTCCGACCAGCCACTGTGATGACGCCGTGAGTTCTGTTCTCGCAAAACATTTAAGAATGGAGTCCATTGTGCAATGTGAGGAGTGGATCAAATGATTTGATGTATCTGACCAGTCTGGTGTTATGGATGTTCCGAGAAGATTTCCACACAACCTTGTCCAAATGGTGAATGTATAGGGACAAGCGAAGTATAGGTAATCTCTTGATTCATCTCTTTCACCACAAAAAAAGTGAAAAACAAAATGCTGAACACAACCCCATGCTCTCGTACGAACTCCCGTTGACAATTTGTCTTTTATTGCTAACCGTGGTACACCTTGTTGAAACCAAACAACTTGACTCCAAGTAATTTTAGGAAAGTATTTTCTATAGTTTAAATAGATTAAATTTCGATGTATATATATGAAAATTTTGTTCATATTTAATGGTAAGATTTACTATTTGAGTTTTTAAAATAATTAGTTTTGATAAGTGTAGGATTTTTATGTGTTTTGGCAATTACTATTTTTTTTTTAACATCTGTTTTATTTAAAAGTTGGAAGCGGCCAAATGGTCGCAGTGTAGAGTTTCTACAATAAAGCTTGGAAAATAAAAATGAAACACAGAAGACACATTATCTTGTATCGAATGCTTTGCTAGGATATGTGCCGGCTTATTCGTTTCTCGTTGTAGAATTTTACCTCTTTAAATCGCAGTTTCCAGAAGTGGACTTCTGGCATCCAATTGAGTGTACTCCAAAGTTCATGCTCTTTCCTTTGAGTAGTTCATTTAGTTGTCTGCAGTCTCCTTCAAAAAAGACTTTATCATATTCCCCTTATCCAGCAGTTTTGCATTGCCATTATCAAGGCCTGAATATTGCTTTCTAAAGCACATGTAGCTACTTCGCCTACGCCTTGTCCCGATCCCAAATAAAAACCATTGTTGTCACGTAGAATCCATCCAGCTTTAATTGATTTACTTTGATTTACTGCTGTTGAGAAAAGATCCATCGTAATTGCATTTTACCCAGTTAGTGTCCGGTCTTTTCCAACAGCTTTGAGTGGTTTCACTTCTGCGAGGATGTGAGGTTATCATATTCGGAGCTTGTGTTGCTTGAAAGTTGTCCGCATCCATCCATTCTCTTGAGTCTTATTTTGCATTACTAAGGTCTATTCTCCAATGAATCTGTCTCCTTTGGTGGACCAAAAGATTCCTATTCTTCCATAGTCTCCATAAGATCCACAACGGTAGTTGTGACAGTTCTCTCGACAAACCTGACTCTTTAGCCTTAATGATCAAAGTTAGCTTTTTCTCCAAAGGTTCAGCCGGATCAATTAGTTCCATAAATGGAATTCCAGATGCACGCCAAATCAATTGAGCACGAGGGCAGTCAAAGAACAGGTGATGTGTTGATTCTATTGCTTGACAACACCGCTTGTAAGTTAAATCTCTGCTTATATGACGTCTTTGAAGATTTTCCCTTGTAGAAAGTATCCCGTTAAGGAGTCTCGAAAGGAAATGTCGGATTTTCAGAGCGGTATTTAATTTCTAGATCAAGACTTTGAGACGTGGATTAACATTCGATGGGATCCGGCCATTATTTGAGGGAAGGAGTGTTTTGAGAGCTAGTAAGAAAACTTTACGGTGTAAATCCCTGATTTAGTACTGTGAACATCTCTGTTTGCGCTTCTGCAAATTTTGAGAGCCAAGATTGTATCCAATTCCTCTTATACTACTATTTCACGAACAAGCTCCTCATTCCATCTTGTTTTACAACAATTCATCAACTCTCAAACTTTATAGCTTGTGGTAGGAGTCGCGGAGGTCTTGGTTGGTGCTAAGGTAGCCACGGATCAGCCCATGTGTCAACCATATTGCCATCTCCTATAACAAAACGCATTCCTTGTTTCAATAAATCCCTTCCATGGAGGATCGATCTCCAGGTAAAAGAGCTCTTTTTTCTCACCCTCGCATTTAGAATATTG